CTATCTTAGGATATGAAGTTTAAATTTATTCTTTTCTTTGTATAAGAGTTATACTCCTATATGATCTTTGCTTTGTAAGAGAGTTAAATTAAATTTTAATAAAGACAGAGACATAGTTTCACCATTAATATTCAAAAAAAAAAAAAAATTCTTTCATGATGATATAAAGATTCCTATCAAAAAAATAAATATATGAAAATAAGAACATTGTATTCTATTATGAGAAAAACACTTTAGATAAAATGTATTATGAAATAAATTTTTCTATTTGAAGACTACATACTGTTTCGGCTATGATCCCAGCTATAAAAAAAGCTATATAAAAAGAAATCACTATAGTAAAATTTGGAGGTTAAGCTTGTGAGATGACATTATTAGCAGTAAATATTAAAGATAAGAAAATAATTAACTTTTTTCAAAACTATATAGTGAGAAAAAAAGATGAAAGAGATTAATCTACTTGTGATACACAGAATAAAAAAAAGAGAAACGACCTTTATATTTGATTAACAAACTAGCCATTAAAAATCAGATAATATTAGAAGAGAAAAGTGGTTATACTAATAATAAAGCATCTGATAATAAAGCACCTGATAATGAAATACCTGATAATAAAGCACCTGATAATGAAACATCTGATAATAAAGCACCTAATAATAAAGTATTTGATAATGATGAAAGTATCCAAGTTTTACAGAACTTTCAAAATCCTTTTTGCATTATTAGAAAAGAGTAATCACCTAAATGTGTTATTTGAGTAGTATAGAAAAGAAAAAGACCAAAAAAAACTTCTTCTTGAAGCTCATATGAATGTCATCAGTGTAGTGAAATAGGTTATAAACACTGCTTATCATAAATGAAAAAGAAAAGGAAGAGGAAGTAAGTATAAATATGTGTAATATAAGTTGTAACCTAATTTGACTATATATTCTGCATGATACTATAATTAGTTAGTTCATTCAGTAAATTTTATAACAAGGGTGTGGCGACTTAGAGTAGTGGTTAAGTTGTCACCTCCAAGCAGCAGGTCTAGAGTTCGAATCCCACCAGAGACGATTTTAGAAAAATAGGCATGTGCTCTGGTAACAATTATTTTACGATTGGTTGGGTATATTACCTGTAATCTTGGTACTACCATCTCGAAATGGAAGCTCTTGGGCATCCAAATCCAAGGAACCGGAATAATTGAAACCTGTTTGGCAAGACCCGAGTAAGGAGGTAGTGAAGATCTTCGATGATA